AAATTTTCTTTTGGGGGGGCCCCCCCCCCCCCCCCCCTTCCCCACTATGAGATAACATGTCGCTGCATGCCCGTTTCTTCCCGTTCCATTATTAAATTACTCAGACCAAATTGGAACAAACATGTGCCAGTGCTGTGAAACATGTCTGCACTTAACTAGCTAGACAAAGAAACCATAGCTTTGGCATCAACATGCAAATGCTGGTTATGTTTCTGTGTCACGGAACCTTTTCCCTGTGAACCCTCATGACCCACAGTTTATAATTATGATCTCTAATTACAGCGTTTTTAAAAATACACATTTGTCAACCAGGAAACGTTTTGTACATGTGTGATTCATGAAGAAAGAAGCTGAAACCTTGGAGTTTTGTGCTACAGTTACATGATCTGTCAGTCTGGAAATAATGAGACTTGCCATAAAGAAAATCCAATTACATTTAAATTGAGTGTAGCTTTACTTTGCCAGAACAACACAAATGCAATCCCAAATGTACTGGCTCATAATTTTGATAAAATTCCAAAAATAGTACTGGAGCATACTGTTGTATCTCTCGAGATGAATTTGGGAGCAGATAATGTGTGGTTCACAAAGCCATGGTCAGCTTCTGGAGAACAGTCCGTCTGGGTGATAGCTCCAACGAAGACCTTTTATTTCCACAAGCTCTCAAGCGACACAGTCTGTGCGCTTAGTGAACAGACTTTGGTTTAGACGAGAACCAGTGACACTTTTGTTCAGACACACTAAGACTGTCGGCTCTGCCTCCGTAGCCAATCTGGAGCGTCACCAGAACAAGTCTTGTCTCACATCCACGTCTGAAATAGTGTGGCCGATAAAGTAAATCCCTGCAGAGTGCGGTAAAATAGAGCAGAGGCTTGGGTAAGGAACATGCGTCGGTGGCGGGATAATTTGGGACATCTTTTTAGGAGTTGGCTGAACTGTTTCCTCCTACATGAGGCTATACTGGCACAGTCTGTACCTCACACATACACAGCACACACACACACACACACACACACAGGCAGCACAAACTTTCTGCCACTTACAGTATGCTTCATGAGCGCACAGCTACAGTATGCACACACTGCAAATTCTCATGCACAGAAGGTAACTTTAAAGGGACAATCCACCTTTTCGCCCAAGTTTGCTGAAGACTATCGGATCTGTTTAGTTGGATTTCTTTATTCTTTCATGTGGATAAATGACCAAAATGAAAATCACATATACAGGTGAAAACAGATATGTTACGAGTGACAAACTGAAGCGTAACAAAGGGAAGATTTCAGAGCAGTGTGTTAGACAACGCTCTTCTCTACTGTCACACAAAGACCAAATGAAAGAATATCTGTTAGAAGAATGAAGTTCATCAACAGAATCAGCTGTTCTGGCTCAGAGCGGCCCAACATTTTACTAAGTCATTTATTTTTAATGGGTCACCCACATCACCGCCCGCCCCCTTTATATGCTAGTATACAGTCATGGCTGAAAATATTGTCACCTCTGTATTGCTGTCAGATAACACACCACTTCTTTCTCCCAGAAAATTGTTACAATCACAAATTCTTATATTATTCTCATGTTTAATTCTTCTGTTTGCACTGGAACAAGAATAACAAGTCTGATACCACAATGCAGTGATTTTCTGAGAGAAGTGGCGTGTTATCTGACAGAAATACATGGTGCCAATATTTTTGGCCATGACTGTGCGTGCATGTGTGTGTCCATATATACAAACAGTTTGCATCCATCAGAATAGTGTTTTAAAGCAGGGCAATACGCATGATATTGAAAACCAATGTTTCTGATTGAAATCCATCACAGATGTCTTTGTACAGAAGCCCTAGTAGATCAGAAAGCAGTACAGGCACAATGACTTAATATTTTGACCTGAGGCTTTGTCCACATTTATCACAGCAAAAATCAATGGTTTTGCCACATCACTGGAATTCACTCAATGAGGCAAAGTAAATTTATGTGGGGTGTTTGTGCAGAGTTTAACTTGAATGAACTTCGACTGCAGATTTGTGTTGTTGCCCAGTTGCAGAGAGTCTTGACAGCACTAAGGCCATTGCTGAAGCTGTTACATGACCCATTAATGGTTAGTACATCATCAAGCTTCACCTTATTCTTAAACTTGGCTTTTTAAATGCTCAGTTTATTGCTTATACTTTGCTATTGTTATCAGAATTCTGTCTACACATAGCAGACTTAAGTAATAAATCTTCATAAAGGCTGTAATGTTCAGTTTTTATCAAAATGCTTCATTCAGCATTATGGTTATTGTAGAGGCTGTAGTTTCATGTGCTCCTCAGTCGTACTGTGTTATATGGAAAGAGGTGTTAGCGATAATCTACGCTCATTAATGTAAATGAAGGTAGACTATTAGAAGGTTTATAAACTGAATAAATCATGAAGGTTT